ATTCTTATTTTTTCATGGCTACCTCATAATAAACTTTAAGTGTGCCAGAGTATAAATTTATGCTACACTTAATAAGTGAGCTATTAAGCAAACCTCTCTCCCATTATATATTGACCCTCTTTATATAATAATACATAAATTATTTTTTATTAACTAGGTGATTTGTTTGATTTACTAACCACCATAGAGCGTTTTATATTTAATATAATTATTCATTTACTGGTTACTATTAATGCGGATAAAATGTGTTATATAATAATACATAAATTATTTTTTATTAACTAGGTGATTTGTTTGATTTACTAACCACCATAGAGCGTTTTATATTTAATATAATTATTCATTTACTGGTTACTATTAATGCGGATAAAATGTGTGGTGCATCACGAGATATTTATAAGTCAATGAACAAATGTGCCAGCTCAAATTTAGGTAATATATCAGTAGGTTATTTTTCGGTACTAACATATACCATGGTAGATTTGAAAGATAATTACGTTGAACTGAACGCGTGTTCAATGTTTAGGATTAGATTGTCATTGATTTGGACCACAATTAGTATTATAATCACGTATTCCGTAGTATTCATACAATTTAATTAGTTTAGTAATTATTTTAATTAGTTTTTTCAATTTACTATTACAGTTTGTTTATTACAAACTTAAAATGAATTTGCACTATACCGTAGTATTGTTATACATAAAATAAATATAAAATATTGAAATATCAATTTATTGTTACATAATAATTTAATGTATAATTAGTAATTAATTAATATGTATGAAAATAATTAATCAAACTGAAAATAAATCAATTAAGTATTACTGATAAAGTACATATTACAAAAAAAATTATATTATATTAATTTTATTTATTTAATTAAAAATTAATTTAAGACTTATGTGTTTCAATAGTTTAATAATTATCAGTGAAAAAGAGTTTTAAAAAATATAATTAATATAACAGCCGTACGTTTACACTGAGACCATGATCATGGCTATGATGAATGAAAATTAATTTTAAAAAATAATTATTATTTTTAAATAAAATTATTTGTTATCACAGTATTAATTATTGACCAGGTTGCACACGCAATATTAATTAAAAATTAATTTAAAAATAGTAGCCAGATACAAGATATAATTACTGTCAATATTGCTGATATTTTAACTAACCCAGCACCACTAGGTGTGGTATCCCCTACATTATGAGGTGTAGGTGCTGTTGGTAGGGAAGGTTGTGGTTCACCCGATGGTACAGGTCCTGGTGCGTAGGTTGGACCTGGAGCAGGTTGCCCAGTATAGCCCGACATATGATCTAGCTCATATTTTATGGTGTCCATTAAGGGGTTCAACTTTTGGATGAGTTCATCAACTTTTTTAGGATCCGTAGTGACACCGAGTAGATATATTAATCCATCTAGCTCATTTTTGTATCGTGCCATGATTTCAATGGCACGGGCATTTTTAACAGGGTCCTTTCGGAGTTCCTTAATGATGTCGTCCAATCGTAGGCTAAGCTCCATGGCCTCTGGGCTGACCTCACTTTTCTCATCCCTTTTCAATCGTAAACTAGTAGTTATGGCTGTAATATAAATTAGCATGCTAATTTTTCCGCAAGTAAATTATTAAAACTAATATTAATACTAGTAAGTTCATTCACAAAATGCAACATTATAAATTAAAAATATTATAAAATTAATTAATTTTTAAATTGTTTATTATAAATAATTTAATGCTAAATATATTATAATATGGTGGTTTATATTTTATAGTTTGTTAGATTTAAATAAAAATAATAACCAAAATTACTTACTTATTAAACAAATTAATAGTGTAATATTAATCATTAAACTCATTGTATTGAATATATATATATATATCTCATATAAGCACAGGTATTAAATGTAATGAATGAGGTGTAAACATAATAATAAAGTAAATCATAAAACTAGTTCATTATAAATAGGTTATGTATATCTATCATAAAATAACATTTTTAGTATTTTGTCGGTATTTTCCTTTTGATACCAATCACTAGTATCTAGGTTACATAGTTTTATATGTTTATGATGCTTATATATCACTAGGAAGTTGAAATATGTGCACACATTTATGTGTTAATTAATCATTTTTCTATTGTATTTGTATATGAAAATCGGAAATGATAAAGGTATATTAGGATATAATAAGTATTTTTTGTCTCTTATGTATTTAACAATTATAATTAATATTTTATGTGTACAAACTTATATGAATGGTTGTTAAGTTATGTATATAATAAAAAAAATTTATAAACCTTTTAAGTAATTATTTGCCGCATAAATAATAAAATCAATTTAAAAGATTATATAATTACAATTAATGAATTAATATTTTCACAAAAAGTATTTATATATTATATTATATGTGGTATTGTTTTGTATTTCTTGCCTAGTTGAAATAGCGTTTTATGTAATATATAAATAATTGACTGATATAATAATAATAATAATATTATATTCAGATAATTATTTTTAGTAGTGTAGCTTAGACAATATTTTCAAAAAACCTTTATATTAATATTAATATAATATACATTATGATAACAATTAAGATTCATTGCACTAAACTTATTGATTACAGTATTGTATATACTTGTAGAAACATTTCAGATTATATAGATTTAATGAACTTATACTATACTAGTATGCATTATAACAATTAATTCACAGTACATGTATTGTACTTTTATTAATGGGATAATAATAATAACTATAACTTGTATTGTAGGATTATTATTACTATTTCAATAATCTGTGTAAAATTATTAAATTTATAAAAAGTAGTATAAATTATAGTATTGCTAAATTATATTTTGTATAATAAAAAACATATAATATATAATATTAATTAATAAATAATATGAAACTTTGTAAAAATAAATTTCAACATTTAAAGCATATAATTTTAATTATTTTTACTACTTCAATTATTTCAAAACTTATAATTAAATAACAAAAGGTTCATTAACAATATTTTAGATAACATAGCATTGATATATTTCCCGAGAAAATATTATTTTTTAAAAAATAAAAAATCCATTCATTATCAGTTAAACAAAAGTTATCTGTCACACTTTATGCCTATAATCATGGGACCCATAGGTTGATCTCAAGTATGTTTTCAAAGTATAAAAAGTTGTTTGAAATATAATTTAATTTATTAAAACAGTAATTATTAAATATATTCAAGCAAGATGAAAATTGCATTATTATTAGCAGTGTTATTTGTTGGGGTTAACGCGGCACCTAATAGCCGGGAGTTTACCGGCAAACGGTGGGTAGTATTATGCGCTGGTGGTGCCGGTTGGGGTAACTACCCGTTTCAGGTATTTTAAAAATATTAAATTTATTTTTTATAAAGTATTTTATAATAATTTTAATTTAAAAAAATTAAATAAATAAAATTCTAAAATCAATGCAAAAAATATATAGATTTTATGACCTTGAAAATTATAATTGCTATATTAATTATATTTATTCTACTTTATTTGTGTTTTAATTTCAAATATGTACAACAGATATGCATAACAATTTAATAATTATAATTCATTATTATGCCCAGTATCAAAATATATAAAAATAAATAATTTAATTTTCCATAGGCTAGTATCTACCACGCCTACCATATATTTTTGAACCATGGCATTCCCGAGGAGAACATAATCGTGATGCACCCTGATGATTTAGCTAATAATAAAGCTAACCCTACGCCCAATATTGTGGTCAACCAGGTCAACGGCACTGATGTCTATCATGGTGTACCCAAACATTACGTGGGCAAGGATGTTACCCCCAAGGTACGCATGGTGGTTTACACATGAAAACTACCTAGTTAACTATATTTATATTTTTTATTTGCAGAACTTTTTGGGTATTCTTAAGGGAGACTCTGAGCTTAAAGCTGCCGGAAAGCGAGTTGTTGAAAGTGGCCCTGATGATCATGTGTTTGTATTTTTCATGGACCATGGTAGCACAGGTATGTTATAGAATTGAGTGGAATATATTTTAATTATTTACTAATATTTGTTTTATAATATTTTTTTATAAATGTAAAACAATTTTGGTATTAAATAGAGCTTGTATCATTCCCGTCGGGCACCTTGTTTGCAAAGGACCTAGTTAACACGCTTAAGGAAATGCATGAAAATAAACGCTATTCAAAATTATTGTTTTATTTAGAAGCATGCGAATCAGGTTTGTACATTTTTAAAATTATTTTAATTGACTGGAATTAACAACTTATAAATTTACTTAATGACCAGGATCAATGTTTGATAAACTACTACCCACTGACATAAATGTCTACGCGGTGTCATCATCAAAACCAGATCAATTGAGCTGGGCATGTTGCCACGATACATACCGTAAAGCATATGTTGGTAAGTAATTTTGAAATACTCTACTTAAATTTATTTATCAATGTAAAGAATATTCTAATTTTTAATAATACTATTAATTTTAAGGTGGTCACTTTAGCGACTACTGGTACTCCGATAGCGAGACCAAGGACTTTAACTCCGAGACTATTGAGACGCAATTTAAATTCATTGCTTCTCATACCAAGGTGCTTTTGAATAATGAAAAGGAGGAAGCTCAACATTACGGAGACTTATCTGTGGGTCAATTGACTTTGGCTGAATTTTTCGGTATATCACATAAACTATATATAAAATATATATTTTTATAAATAATTATTCAATTAACACAGGTCCCAAAACTGTACCTAGTACACCAATTGTCAGCCAAATAAATAAACAATGTGAGTTTGTTCCCACACGTGACCTACCCATACATTTAGCGCTAAAAAATATTGAGACCTCAGTGGATAATAGCGAGAAATTACGGTATATTTTAAAATTTTATGACAAAAAATTTATTATTATTTTTAAATTAAAATAATTTTTATATCAATTCAATAGATATACACAGGAATTGAAAAACATATTGAATGGGAGACAGTATGCGGACAACCATTTGCGTCAATACGTCCAGAGTATTGAGTCGTTGACCGGATTGGGAGCTAATGTTATACTGAATGGGAAACTAGAGCTTAATAATAGGGACTGCTATCAGAAATTTGTCGAGACTTTCAGTGACAAGTGCTTTAATTTGGGACAGGTATGTTGATAAGTAATATTTTAAATTAAGTTAATAGATAATTATTTTTATCAATAATTTTATAGAATCCATATTTTTTGCAAAAAATGAATATTTTCATCAATATTTGCGAATTAACTGAAAGTAAAGTCGTGGACAAAGCTATTGACAGTATGGTTGAGTACTGCAAACAAAATGTCAAAGTTGATTTAAACATTCAGTAAATTTAATTGTAATTTTTATATAATTAAAAATAAAACAAGATTTATAATAAAAATTATCAATTCGTGTTTATTTGTTTAAATTAAAAAATATTATACATTAAAATTTTAAAATAAAATAGTAATCATCGTGAATGAGATATAAAATACGATTATCATTGATAATAAATTTATCACGATGACCGCGATAAGTCCTAGTCGTATATTTCTATAGAATAAATTGTAATTTAAAAATTATTTAACACTTTGTTTTAGAAACTTATATTTACTTGATTAACAATATGATAATTGGCGGGGTAAGCAAGGTTAAATGAACTATTGCACAGTATGTCCAAATTTGCGGGAAGCACTAGTTGATACATTGAAATATATAATAATTTAAATGACCTTGTTTATGTTATTACCATTTCAAAATTCTCGATATGATTGGCAATAAAAAGTGCATTTAATATCCACTTATCATAAAAACTTGCTTGACACGTTCATCGTAAAAACGACCGGGCACCAAATAATTGACATACATTACGTAAAAATATAACACAGTATAATATATCGGGATAATCCTGGTAATTCTATCAAAACAGTATCTTGACACATTTCGTATTGAAGCATTTTTGGAGGCACCGGTAGTATTGATTTGCCGTATAAACCATTTAGCCGATGCTACTCCATTTATTACTATAGTAAAGTCCAGGGTTACTTGAACAAACACGTTGTTAGGTACCTTGATGTAAAAATATTTTAGCTATAAATATTGTATATAAATTTATGAGCTTACCACATTCGGATATTAAAAAAGTTGCTAGTAGTAGACCAGTTATCCGGGCGATATACACATAATATTGCAATGTAATGGGAACTAGTATGCGCCCATGAGTGTACCCACGTATTTTGTCAATTAAATCAAATAGATTATCCACCGTAATATTGTCATTACCCAATATATTAGTTTTATCATTATTTTTATTTCTATCTGAGAGATTAGCAGGGACAATTTTGGCATAGTTACATACTAGGCACAGACAATTTAATACTGTTGTGCCAATAGTGGGACGCGGTTTATAATTAGCACCTTTACCATGCTGTGTTATTATGAATGTCGTATATGACTTACCATGGTCATGATGTATGTTAGTTAATGTGGCCCAAATTATTATAACTACCCACATGATAATAATTATCAAAAATATTATAAAGTGTAGCATTTTTGTTATACATATAATGTAGTGTTATTTAATTGGTAAGCTATCAAAACTGTAAATAAAAGTCTAAACACATATGGTAATAAATATAATTATTAAAATTAATAAGCTAATTAACATTATTATCAAAAGACATAAATAACTTTTAATTAGCAGAATTTGTAAACAATATTTATTTTTAAAAATATTTTATAAACATTTGTCAATTTAAATTAACAATTAATAATTTTAGAAATAAATTTTTACAAATTTGAATAAATAATTTTAAAATAGAAAATTTTAATTAATTTTTATATTTATATTTTAAAAATAGATTTTGCAATAGTAAGTTAAAAATGTAAACTTAAAACAATTCAAATAATAAATTATAAAATTGTTAATAAAAATAAGGCTTTTATTTAAATTTATATTATAAATGTTTCTTAAATATGAATATTTTATTAATTATAAGAATTTTAATTAAATATAAACTTAGTTATTACAAACTAAGCATATAACTTAAGTTTTAATTAAATATTAGAAACATTTTACATAAAAACTATTATATATTTATTGTAAATTTTATATTTGTAAATAATATTTGTATTTAACAATATTACTTAATAGTCATTGTAACTTGAAAACATTGATCCAGTAAACACCAAAATAACTAATTATATTTATTTTAAACAATCACTAATCCATAATTTATTTTTAATATAAGAAACTGTTAGAAAAATATTAAAAATAAACTAACAAATTTAAAATATAAAATACTTTTAAAGGCTTAATATTTTTATACAACTCATACATTTAGACAATTAACGGATGTTACTATTATAATTAGGTGTATATACAGTTACATAAATAACATTTATCACATTTATGCTATTTAACAATAAACCAGTTTAAAATAAATCACATTTCAGTGAAAGTGTTTATATTACAGGAAGTTTACAGTTTGTTATTTGCAATATAAATGTGTTATACTTTATTAAAAATTAAAGGATTCAAATAAATAGTTTGACATTTTAAATCCCAAATTATTATCAGTATAACATAAATAAATTTATGAATATATTACTATAATTATTTGATAAAGGTCCTTTTGAAATTGGTTTAAAACTAATATATGAATTTTTAAAATGTGCGTACACAAATATGCGCTATACAATTGTGACTACGTGCTAGTTGCAAAAATGACATAATTGTTTATTTAACAGTTTCTAATAATACCTTGAACTTTGTGTCTAAAAATATAAACATTTTACTGATGATTACAGACATAACTTTCCCACAAAACGGTGTCTGACATCCAAAATATATTTGTCTCAATAATAATGGCAACAAATGTGTTGACAGAGTGTGACAAACAATACGCCGACAATAAGTCGTGTAAACTATTGAATACATATGAAAATGATGTGTTGTTTGATTTAATAGGCAGTGATTGCAGGGTGAGTTTATAAAAATATATTTATAAAATCAACTTAATTTATATACTAATCCCATATTTATCACGTATTTATAAATAGCAATAATTTTAAAATTTATTGTTTACATTATATTTTTAAATATAATTATTATTTTAAAATGATGTGATAGCTAATTTTAAATTAAATTTTAATTTAGTTAATGCGTATATATATTTATAATATATGTTTTAATTTAATGTAATAGTAACAATAAATCGAAAATTATATATAATTTATATTTAAACTACCACACTCAATAAATTATAAGTATGCTACTCGAAATAATTAACTTGACAAACCTCATAGAAATTAAAATAATATTAAAAATAATTAATTTTCAATTTAATCAGACATTATGCACAACACTAGTCCAGGTGGTGGTGTCTGTGCGACCCAACCACCAGCACTGGCGGGTGGCCCGGGATGTGGGCGTGGCCTGCGTTGTCAAGGACTACGACAAACTGCAACACTATATCCGTGTCTATAACTACTCCGAGCGTAATGTATGTACCGAACAGCGCCTGTACGCCAGTTTCGCCTACAGGGCGGCGCTCGACATGTTCCACGTGTTCGAGGGCTCCGACTCTATGGTTGGCCTAAATTTTGCCGACTGTGACGACGCCATTAGGTTTCAGGAGGTGGTGACTCAGTGTCTGAGGGAACGCAAGTTTTTTGATAGGTTCGGGGTAAGTGTAATAGGTTATATTTGAAATAAGGGCTTTCAATAAGTATGTACGCAATGAATGAGGTGGGTATGGGGCTATGCAATAATGTATTATACATCATAAACATATAAAGTTAAATTCATTTAAATTATTAATTTTTATAAGCGATTTTAATTATAACTCTATGTGTACGTACTTATTGAATGGACCTTGAAATTGTTAATTGATCATGAAAGACTGCCTATGTATTTATATTACTGATTAGCTAGATATTTTAAAACATAATTATAATTTACCTATGAAGGTTAATTTTTTTCAAATAATATTTCTAAACTGTAAAATAAATTATTAAAATTGTATCATAATAATAATAGTGAAAGTACAATTGGTTGTGAACGTAGTGTCATTATTATTTTAGAAACAAATTTACCATAACAAATTAATAAATTTAAAATTTGTTTATTATTCTATTAATTATACAATAAATGTCACCTTGCTAAAAAATGTTTTTTGTTTAATTATCTAATTATAATTATTAATTTTGACAGGAAATAGGAAAACCGGAAAAATTCATTCACTTACAGAGCCTGACATATGTAAACGGCGTGCGGGCGTCGACATCATCGCCACCGTTGGACAGGGAGCTCATGGACCGCATGGAGACCATTGGGTTCACCAAAGACGAGATGAACGAAAAACTATTCAAACGATCCATTCATGAATACATGGATACTCTGCGTCGCAAATCCATAGCCAATAAAAGGCCGTCAATTATGGCGCCGGTAGACACGTGCGGAGCATCCGGTGTTGGTATATACCCGACAGCGCCTACACTAACCGACGATATGCCAACCCCTGCGCCCAGGTCTACAGTTGTCAGGAAATCCGTGTCCACTCAGACTCAGCCTACTTTGAGTATAGAGTTTTTGATTTGCGAGAGGTTTCTGCCCGTCGATGCCCTACCGGCGCCCACCGATGCCATGTCCAGTGCCACGTTTTATTGAGCAAGCAACAAGTTTAATGACTATTTTATTT